AATTCTCTTTTTACATTTATATCTCTAAATTAAGTGTACTCATTTTCCCACTTGGATTATCCAAGTTCTGTTACGTTTTATTGCAAACCGAATACAACTTCAACTATAGATGTACGTATATGCTGCAATTCATACCACTACATAACAATCGTTTCAAATGTGCAAATTGTTACAAAGCTTGCCGCCAAAGCTGTCGAATTACAAGTGCATTAACGTGGTATAACACCGACTAGCGAAGGTTGTATTTCTTTCTTTGTGATCTGGGCATTCACGGTACAGTTCTGATATCTGGCGATCAATGCCCAGTTAAATCTTTGAGACACGCCTACACGGATGTCCTGGACTTGTTGAATACCACTAGCAGTCGCGACTCATGAGGGAACTGGACATTCTTTCTTTACGTATTTCTCTATCTCAGTGCTAGCTACTTTCTTCATAATAAAGTCCAGTGTAACAAAGCCCAATACTAACTCTACACTGTCCCAAATGAGGGTCTGCAGTACTGTACCACTAGCAATCCTACCTATTTTTTAGCTCCCTATTTTCACGATCCTTGTTTTTCTCTCTTTTCTTGCTCTTCTTGCCATTTTCGTCTTTCCTCCAGAACTTTAGCTTGAAGTTCCGCGTATTCTCTGAAACGGTCACAGCGATATATCATCAAAAATGAAACGAATAAAGAAGTGGACTTAAGGGTACAGACTTAAGGTGGCTGGTACCAGTTTTCTCGCGCGGGGAGTAGATCTCCATCATGCGTCACCCATGAGAACACGCACGATAGCGGCGCGAGATTTAAAACCCGAAAGACCAAAACAAATATGGCGGCGCGCGGCTTTATTCGCGCAAGGTCACTTTTGTACTGTTGGAGACGAAATTCGCATATAAAGGAGGCTTTACCTGCTAGGACAACTTTAGTCAATACTGTGTATTTAAGAAAAATTGTTTCGGGAATTCAATGTTTCCTAGATTTCAAAGGCAACACGATCGATCGTGACAGCCACCGGAAGCGTATACAGGACTCGCAAAACAGAGCAAATTTACCCAGAATTTGTGTAACAATCCTACGGAGTAAACCCAGGAGGTTGTCTTTAACGACAACTGCAACTGTAAATGATGTTTTAGCAGCAAACAAAACAAAACGCCTGTTCGGAACTCGCCCGCCCGCGCGGACACACGAAGCAGTCAGCGGTAGTCAAAACAGCTCATGATCTGCTGATCTTACAAAGTCTGGATTTTTGAATGCGTGTCTACGCGCGTGGGAATAACGGAACTCGCGAATGCTTTTACACGAAAACAAGCCCGGTGACCCCTTCTTTTTATTGTTTTACTATAATATTATTACTGAGAGGAAACGTCAGAAAAAAAATACAAAAATTTTAGGGAAGGAAATTTGCACTTTGTGCAAATTGCCCTTTTTCCAAGTTTACAAGAAATCGGCTCCGTAAAATTATTCTAAAATTGTTGTGCATTTTCATTTTCAGATGCCAAAAGCTATTGACTAAAAAAAACTCGGGGTCACTGGCTTAATTTTTTAGTTATTAGTGACATAAGCGAAAAATTAGGTCTGGAAAATCCTTTTGGAATGTTGCCATGGTAACTGCTGACGACAAAGTAACAGCTGTTTTAGGTCAAGAATAAATTATATAATCCAAACCTACAAAACTATTACAGTGGCCCTAGTCCGCCTTTTTGTCCTATTCTTACAAAGTTATGAGCCGTCAAAAACCTGAAAACTGGTACGAGCCACCTTAACTCATTTAAACCTGAAAATGAGAAGCAGGGTACGTTTTGCACACTGGCCTGAGTTAGGTATGGGTTGGGTATGCCGTTTAGATGGAATTGATATTTTTCCCCAACAAAATCTGGCAATTTGAAGCTCTTCTCCTACATGTATTTTTGCAAAGGGAATTCCTGGTAAGCTGAGGTCACATAATACATAGAGATAGTACATTTAGAAGTCTGACATAGGGTAACGATTTTTAAGTCTTTGAACACCTTGAAACAGAGTATCGAAAGTCACATATTTTGGTCATAAATAGAGTAAGGTTTTAATTAAGCGCACCGCTCATCGTCATTAAAACATTCGGGGAGTACCCTCCGCCCCTTCGGGTAGTGACCTAACCCTGGCCGGGTTGTTCAAAGCCCGATTGAGCTAACCCAGGATTAGCAAGAATTTTGATTTCAGTTTTGTAACTTTTCGGTGAAGTTTGCTGTTTGTGTTCGTCCTTCAGTTTTGAGCTTGAGTAAGCTCAAACTACACAAAACCTGAGTAGTAAAAAACATTTTTATATAAGAAAACTTATTACTTCGGTTAACTTTTAATCCTGGGTTAGCGTTAACCGGTTATTGAATAACGCGGCCCTGGGGCCCGTTTCTCGAAAGCGCCGGAATCTTTTCGGGCCCGAAAAGCCATTTTTAGTTTATAGATATTTAAAGACAGAGAGGTGTATACGCCTGAAACTTCTTGTATGAAGAGAACCTCTGTTCGTATTAAGAATATATGAATAAAACAGCTCTGTAGTTAAAAGGTTTAAGACTTTGCTACAGCTTTTCGGGTGCGAAAACTTTTCGGGACCTTCGAGAAACGGTGACTAACTTTTGTTACCTCCTTAGTGATATAGCTTTGCTTTTTAAGTCCGTGTTAATCTCTTGTATCCTGCGTACTTCATCCCATAAGATATCTTCATTCTTGTTGGATTCTCTCCATTTGAGAAATAAGCCCGGCCACAATACCTGTAAGAAAAGCGGATCACCGCTTCTATTCCTTGTACTCTCAAGCGTATTAAAATATCAATTCTCTACACTAATTATTAAAAATTAATTAAAATGTTAATTGCGAGAATCTGGTAACAGATCAAGACAACATCCGCTTCTTGAGGATAATCTCAATTCTCGCCAAATGCCTGCTTGATTGCGTCCTAAAACTGTATGGAAAAACATGATTGTTATCACATTTGGAGATTACGTTAAAACGCGCGGATAAATTACTGCTGGAGGATGCTGCATCGCATAATAACTCAACAGGATGACTCTCCACGAATAGCTGTTATTAAAGTTATCAGGGGTTTGACACAGACGAGGCGAAAAGGTCAGTTCTGCTTTGTATTGACCTTTTCGTCTCGTTTGTATGCCTTTTCAAACAAACGAATATTTGATCGCAGGCTCAATTGTCATTTAACCATTGTTTTCCTCCGCCATTCACCAGCAAAAAAGATGAACTAGGCACTTTGTTCCCCGTTGACCATTATTTGATCAGGTTAACAGTTGAGTGATTTTCATTGGTTCATGGCACATGAACAGCAACTGCAATGCATGTGCTTTTTAGCTCGAGCTAGGGATTGCTTACCATTTGTCGCCGGTTGAATAATGGTAAGGGCTTTTCCAAATCAGTAAGCCAACTAAACAAGGTGAAGAGTACTACCTTTTTAAATGGGTTTCCCGTTGTTGTTTTTTGTCAATGAGACCCTGCAAACTGGGGAATTTAGCAAATGGTAAGGAAATTCACAACTTCCGTTCGCAACAGAAATAGAGGAGTACCTCTGGAGCACGCTTTCACACCAAACTGACCATTATCACCAAAAACTGTCCAGTAGAGGTGTACCACGTGACTTAATTTGACCGATCAGTGTGGCAGAAAACTCTTGGTATGTAAAACTTGGGATATTACGCTTATGCTCGGCTGAGCAAAACTCAAGTTAGCCTAGTCGCGTACAGATGTCAGTGTGCACATGTGGTTTCACTGTCCCACCACAATACAAACCTAAACACTTACCAGACTTTGCGATGCCACAGAAGGCCACAAAACAGAGTTGTTAGGTTCATACATGGGATTTAACAGCGGCTTCAGAATATCTTGCTGGTTAAGATATGACCTGCGGCAAGGGTAAAGAGGAACGTCAACTACATGGTATGCCTTCTACAAAAACAACAGCAGAAAACAAAGACATACACAACTCACCATAAAGAAATCGTCTTAGATTTTAACTTCGCTGTTTTCCTCTCTCCTTCGTTGTTGCACAGGAACGTCCCTGAAATATTAGAAAAGGCTGCTCAGTACGTTTCAGAGATATATAAAAAAGGATGGTAACAAATGCTAAACTTTTCAGGAGTTTAAACAATAGTTTTGTTCTATGGAGTATCTCGTCATACACTCCCTCAATCCTCTTGAAGCCCTTGGGCACATAAGATCATCTCCTTATGCTTTAATCCTTACTACTTCCACGGGAGAACATTTCAAAATTAGAATGATGAGTTATTAATTCCAAGACAGAAACCAAACTAGATCACTAGCAACTGTTAGTTCTCTCCTATGAGGATAGTTTTTTAGCGGTGCATAAATTTTTTGTCCTTATTCTGTTCTTTCCTTTACCCAAATCGCGCTAACACTAGTGGGACCTATTTACAGAGACTTAACTAAAGTGGGGTTGGAAGCCATATGCCCTCCGACAACAAGTTGGTGACAGTCCCCACCAACTATGCCCTCACAAAACGTCAGCTGAATCTATTCAAACAACCTTTCAACCATTACACATGGCTTCCGAAGCCCCTTCCACTTAACTGCTTCACAGTTTGATGACATTTGATTTAAGCACAGCCATTTTTCTCACTTTTTCAAATGCACAACCCTATTACTTACCGAACTGTGAGTAGTACGCATGCTCAAACAGCGTGATAAGGAAACGGTCATTGAACTCAAAAGAGCATGGGAACTGCTGGTAAATCTATCAAAGCAACAAAAACATAGGTCAGGTTTAAGTAATTATTCTCCAATCATTCTTATGAATGATTGGAGAATAAACATTTCGATTTTGGGATGTAGTGAATCAACTAACCTGCCAAACACAGTCAAGGAAGAGAAGAAAAACTGCTCCCTGTCCCTTGTATCTAACTGGAGACACACCCACTTTCACACAGCGCTCAGCAAATGGATGGCCACCACGCAACCACTCTCTATCAATCAGCCCCTCAAACCTGGAATACATAATCAGCAAAAGTCTCTATTAGCCTTGGTTAGTAGAAAATAAAGAAGGCGGACATGTTGAAAATGCCGTTACAGTGCTGGGTGCCATACTGTTGCCACTTGACAAGGTCTTTGACTAATTTTTGTACAACATTTTACCAGCTCTTTTAAAAATCTGAGAAGGTGGCAGAGTTAACAAAATGTCAAAAAGCAAGTGTGGAACTTGACATCGTCACCTCTCACAATTCTGGCATTTATTTTTAATTGGCCAGTCGTCAGAAGACATGTTAAAAGTTGTCAAAAGTCAATCTAAACTTTTGTTGGCAATGGTATGGTACACAGTACTTGATAATCAGATAGATGATTTGTCTTTAAATTGTCATTAAAACCTGCCGAGAATGATACTCTAACTTACAAACAGATGTAGCCCAACATTTATTAATGTTTACAACAACCACTATTGAATACACTATAATTATTGTTAAAACATTTTCTGGAAAATTAGTCATAACTTGGCGAAGATAAATCAGTCATCTGACAGGAATAAGCAAACATATAGATCGAATATGTAACCTCTTGAGTTTGAATAGCGTTAATTCTAATCTGACATGAGAGGACTGACTCAGCTATCATACATTACTTGCAAAAATTTTTTTGCAATGATGATCTCTGGTAAAAAGAACCTCGTGGTCAAGCAAATACAAACACATACGATAATCTATTGTAAACGAGTTGCTCAAATTTTCCTGCAAAATCGCCGGTTTTACAAAGGCAACACTTATAAGTAGTCGGTGTTTCTGTTGCTGTTGTTATTGCATAGGCTAACACTCATAATTTTCCGGGAAAAAAATGGCAAAATTGTCGTCTTTTTTAATCAAAAACGTTCGTCAAATCAGTGCAAAACCGACCACTTTCTAGCGAAATTTGCTCAGAAAATTCCTACGAAATCAGCCGTTTTTACTGATCGTTTTTGAGCGAAATTTCCCCTGAAATTTTCCGCGAATTTCCCGCGAAATCGGCCGTTTTTTCCGCGAATTTGTAATTGAAAATCCCTTAAAATTTGACTTTTTTCCGCGACCTATCAAAAGCCCTGAAAAAAATTTCAGAAGTTAAAATTCCGGGCGATTCTTTTCCAGACACTATTTATCTCATTTCGGACAAATTTCAGACAAAAACTTCGGACACTCGGCTGAAACATAGCCTAGAGCAAATTTACGCCTACAAAGCATAAATTAGACTGAACCATCATGTGACGTGTGAAAATGATAGTTTCACTGCACCCTCAAGGTTTTAGTATACACGAACACGAAAATAACACAAAAAATTCTATCAAGCCGTTACATATCTCAGAATTTGTTCCATAAAGGAAACTAAGAGCTTTGGAGCTACTCAAAAGTTTTATACTGCAATGTAAAAATTTCGAACGTTTTTTTGTAGTAAAGTAATCCGATCATTAACAGTAATAAACCTCACCCTTTGGTTGTTCTGCACATAGGATCCAAGAGAACCTGTGCCAGTGATGTTACTTGCAATGTGGCATCTGTTCCAGCATCACCGTGTACTAACACAGTTGTTCCTAATGTGGTGACAATACAACATATAAGTCAATAAGCTTAAACAATGTACTGCTTGATCCGTTGATGGGGCATTCATGTTATGTGTTAACTTGCCTGTTGTTGATACAATTCACCCACAATTTAATACGTTTGTATGGTTGTAACGATCAAGGTGACACTAAACAGGTGACTCAAAACTTCACGACAGTGCTGATAACAACTGAACCTTGCCTAATGGACATCTCCATAATATGGACACCATTAATACTGCAGACAGTTCACTTGGTACTTAATTAACCTGAATTCATATAATTTGCACCCCTATGATAAAGACACTCTAAATCATGGATTGCCTATTTCTTGTACAGCTTTCTCTCAGGCCTTTACGTTCAACTGATTTTGGTGACACCTGTGTGACAAATGGCTAGGAGTACACTTTTCACCTCAGACCACACGACCTGAAAATGATTGACTGAGGCAAAATATTGTGGCCTAGAGACTGAGCAAAATCATAGAAATAAAAAAAAAATTGTTGCTGTGTAGCACTTTGAATTGAATTGCATTCAATTTAAAGTTTACAAAAAATGCTTACAGTCTGTATGTGTAGTATTTTATTATAGTCAGCTCACTTGAAACCAGAATAATCAGAATTCACAAAATATCTACCTCTACATGTATAATTTATATCAATATGGACACCACTATGATTTAGACACGCAGCTCTGGCCTCGTGGTGTCTGGATTAACAAAGTTCAAGTCTCCTTGATTAATAATTGTTTGTATTTTTTTCTCTGAAAAAAAAATATGACCTTTCATCAGCCCAACTGCTGTTTCAACACAATACTACTGAAGTTATGGTTGATAATCTTAAATAATAATTTCACACTACCTTGTGTGTCCAAGCACTGAGCAACAAAACAAGCTGTGGATAACACACTCTGAACATAATCCAACCAAGAACTTGACTCCAGTTTAGACAGCCATGCATTCATGCTGAGTTCTGGATCTAAACTGGCTATAGTAACAAAAGAATAGAGTGAATTACTCCTTACAAATCCTTCACAAAATTCTGGAAAATGTTCTCTCAACCCCACAACAGAGCATCCTCTCCCCATAGGTCCAATGCTTTGAATTCATGACATGATGTTATCGCTGTTTCGCCATAGCACTAATCGAGTGTAAACCAAACTGGGTGTGAACTTCAAACATTGTACGATTTTATTTGTTTACATGGATACAAGTTTGACTAGGAAAAAATGACAAGCAAACAGAAAATGAATACAACAATAATAAGTGAAGGAAGCTAAGCAAAAATAACGAAACTGTAGCCCTTAAATTCGTACAAGTACATGCGCAAAAAATGTAAATTATTTGTCCCGTAGGGGTATCATGATTTGCATAGGGAACAAAAACAATAGCAGGCAATGCAAGAACGTTACACTGTATATTGTGTGCTCCTTCTATTGTACCCTTATTATTACAGTACTCATTAATTTCCATGGGACATAAAGGTCATGACAGAAGAAGAGTTCACTAAACACAATTACACAAATTTCACAGTTTGGTACAAAAATTGTGTTGAAGGAACTACATGTTATGAAAGATCTTTTTTCATTGATCCCAATATGCAAAGAAAGCTGTGTCCAATAGCCCAGGGCTAATGGATTTTTAACTTGGACTTATAGTGGATTCCATCCTTTGCTTGTCCAACTGACAAGGGAGATTTTTGTGGGAGTGTTTTGAGGAAATTCAAATGACAAAAGTACTATTAATTAAGAAATAAAGATATTGAATTAAGTTAATTTTAAATAATTATCATTAATTAATCACCATGGTTAAAAACGAAAAAAAACTTTTTTGAGGGATAGTGACAATAACTTTCAGGCTAGCTTGTACATCAAAGTTACAGTATTTCCAAATTATTATAATAATTATAATTGTATTTTTTGCATTGTGGATCGTTATTAACTAATGGGTCATGTCAGAATCAGCTCTCCATTGTATAATTATTGTAAAGCTCCTTCTTGCAATAATAATGAACACGACTATAATAAAAAATAAAAGATAAAATTGATTAACATGTTTTAATTTGTGATGAAGCACAGCATGATATACATTGTGTAGTACAAAGAGCAGCAGTAACCCTGTGTTCTCTCTGTTGCATAACTCACTATAATGCTCCAATAAAAAGAGCAAAATCCTTTCTCTTTTTAGTGAATTATCAAAATCAATTGCTTAATTGGTATTGAATGATGGAGATATACATCAACATGTACATTCTGTACCTTCAGCAAGTTTTGCAATGCTATCATTAAGTGCTGGAAATCTCTCAATATTCTGATGAACTCTTTTCCACTGAGGATAATGAGACTCTGGCTCTACCCCTCCACCTGTGAAAACAAACAAACAAAAAAACAACTAAATAAACAAAATAACAAGAGTACACAGATTGTGAGATAGTGAGTAGACTTTAACTTTCAACTACAATCCCCAGGGGGTAATGGGTCAGACACAGAGATCATAGCCACATGTAAATTAAACATTAACCATCACAACAACTTGCCAGTCTCAGAACTTGTGACAAAGAACATCTTACTCAGTCCAGCTACATGTACATGCATATTTGAACACTTTCAATTTGCCACTGCCATTTACCTGTTACCATCATAATGTCAGCGTGACAAATTACTTCAGTCTACATTTTGGCGCAACATTTCACATGTATTTGAATTTGACTATGCCCTTGAAATTATTTCCTACTTGAAACTTGTCATCACTTGATTACCCAATGTATGATATTTTAAATTACTATTCAACTCAACAGTAAAACACACGATAGTTTCACTTGTACCTTTACTCCTGCTGTTCATGGCCGCAGCTTGTGATCTGGTGTCGATAATGAATCCCTTGGAGGCACCTCCAAGAGTATCATTTATCAATTTCTCGTCTTCTCGACTTCTTTTACTTCCTATAGCAGTCAATGGCTGGCCACATCGCAATAGTACAACCTGTGTGTTAATCAAAATAACTTTTAAAAGGAACTTTTCAAGGCCCAAGTTTAACTGTTTAAAAAATGAAAGATTAACACTGACAGTAAATGTTACATGAGCAACTTAATGAGCAGTTGCAAAAATTCCAGAAAAATAATCAGGCTTGAATGGGATTCAAACATGACCTCTGTGTTTCTGGTACTGTGTTCTACCAATTGAGCAATCAAACTATCTGCAAGCTCCTTCCTTTGTGAGTTTGTGTTACACCCATAAAAGATGAAGACATGCATTTAGCCAAACCAATTTATCAAATGTCATGTATTTGTCATGATGTTTGGGGGGGGGCTCACAGCAATTGTATTCACTTGTATAGATTGAAACAGAAGTTCAATTTCCACACATTTCTTCCAGAACATGCATTACTCATTAATTAGGCATAATCTGAAACTAAGGAAATAAATATCAAACTAACCTGTCTACATCTACCCCCTTCCCTCAAAGAATCAAGGTCCAGAGGGGTCTTTTTAAGGGGAGGGAGCAGATGTGCACAGGCTAAAATCAAACTGGTT